CAGTACTGAATTAAAGTAGGGTGAAATAAAAGCACTCCCTTATGGATACATGCATGTTTCTGTTGTGTAAGTTAGGGGTGTAGTGTTTAATAGCATCCAGTGCAGCTGCAGCATTAACTGTGCCCCTGTTTTCCTTGAAACAGGAACAAGGCTAATGTGATGTGCTGGAAGCTCACGCCTTGGTTTGCATTGTTGTAATCTCTGTGAAAATTCCCACCACGAAAGAAAGTTTGGAAAACATACAAGAGATACTTTCTATTTATGATGTATAAAATCTGTAGTCCTTCACAATGTTGTGTGATGCATATCTGCTGTGACAAGCTTCTGACTCTCAGGGAATGGCCTGGCAGTTTGAGCCCAGAGCTCTGAACAGCAAAACAAGAAAACATCTGGTCTCTGTTGGTGTTTCAGAAACACTGGAAGACTAATTAGTTGCATAACCACTAATATATAATAATCTGCACAGTGAGATCAAATAAGGAGCAGAAATATAGAGATGCTTGACTGTTGTCTCATAATGACCCAGCGACCTGTGGCTGAGACTGTGTTTCAGTTCCTTGCCTTAACACCTGTCAAAATGCATCTTGTGCTTTTTGTACCTCTTTATTAAGAAGTGCTAATGCTCTGTTTGCTGGTATGTGCTGTGGTTTCTTTATGCCTAAAAATATATTCTTCAGTGACAGAATGAAGTTCCTGCTTGTCAGAGATCACTGTCCTAATTGTGGGGTTAAAGTGTGTTGGAGCTGCTGGGGAAGCAATTACTTTGAACTTGAATGGGAAGGTGATGTTATTGTTGAAGCAGCAGGGTAGAAGTAGGTTAAATTTGTAGCATGCAAGTCACTTAATTTGCGGCTCTAAGTCTACAGAAATGTGGCTTTTGTCTTGTGAACAAGTGGAACAGATGTTGGGTGCTCTTGGACTGGGGGGTGTATTTTTGTGTGTTTGGTTAGTTGGAGCCTCTTTTATTTGTACCATAGAAATTCCAACAATTGCAAGTTGAGAGCATGTTTGGAAATTGAACCACTGTTTTAACTACACAGCTGAGTGAAGATGTGGAACGAGTATCTGAAAATCCAGCAGAGGAGAGAGAAGGAGATATGGAAGTTCATGAAGATTCCAGCTCTGTTATTTTACCAGGTAAGAACTATTGACCCAAAAGTTGCTGATTGTTAGGGCCTGTTAGCTGCTGTTGTGTGTGTGGTTTTGTTTTTGCTATTTTATTGCACTTCTGAAGGTAAACAAAATGCTAGTTTCACTACTTAATTCCCTTACTTCACTGATTTCCCTTACTTATTTTATGTGAATCAGTACTGATGGAAAACCAAGGAGGTTATCCAAGGACTGATAGGAGAATATTTCTTTGTCAGGAACTGTGCTCAATCAAAACAGGTTCGGCACATCTGACTCTTGAGATAGCTTAGTATGTCATCTTCCTTTATGTTGTGTCTCACCTGAGAGGCAGTGGGGTTGCAGGCAGAGTCTGTGCCAGATGTATATGAGCAAGATGCACTATTGAATAGATGCTTTAGAATAGATCCTTGTTCAGGTTGCTTTTGGAGGGCATGGAGCAGTGTTAAATGGGCTTATTGCAGCTCAGGCACGGGCACTGAGCTTAGGCAGCCTGAAAGGAGCATGGCCTAAATGCCTTGCAGCTGTCCAAGACATGTTTGTTTCAGCAGTGCATTTTTATGCATATTAATGTCTTAATTGCCTTGGCTGCCATCTCCTGGCATGTAACTTGCCCATGGACATTTGTAAGTGGTTATGTGTGCAGTGGGGTTCACTAAAAGGCTCGTGTTTGCTGTAGGAAGGCACAAACACCAAACCACAGAGTTGGGGAGCAGTATGTGGCATGGCCTGAGAGGGGCTGACTCATTTAATGACACCACAAGAACAGTCAGCAGGAAGCATGGCTGCTCATCTCCTTCCTTGCATTGAGTTTTAACACAAAATTTTGTGTGATCAGCTGTATATCGTTCATGACAAAACATGATGTAGAAGTCAAGAGTACAGGAGCCTTTTCCTTAGAAATATTACCAGAAGAAATGGCAAAGGCAAGGGGTATGGGGAAAGCAGTGTCTGTGTGTGGGTGGGACTACTGTGAAGATCTAAAGAGAACAAGATTTGAAGGAAAAGAGTCTCTGGGAGAATTGGGTCAATCTCTTTCTAGCTGTAATTGGAAGAATCCTTCTATGACAGTTTTTAACATGCACATGGAATTATGAACTAGAGAGTAACAAATATCTAGTAACTTCTACCATGGTGGAGATGCAATGCATATCATTAGAATATTAAATCACTCCATTGATGTCTATGCTGAGTGTGTGTAAGAATCACTTCAGACTGGAAATGGGGGGAAAGGAGTTGTTTTTTTTCCAGAAGCAAGGACTGACCATGAGTAGACTTTCTTGTGAACTTTATACTTTGTTTCTCAGTTGTCCTTGAAAATAAACCATGTTTCCTGCCTGCAGTGGCCTTAAGCAGAGTGCCAAATTCTGGCATGTGAAAAGGAGTCACAATCTTAGGTTGATTACACCTCATACTTGAAAGGAAGTATCTGCCTGCCTATAATTAGCTGTGGTTTTTAAAATCAAGCTGAGTTTGAGGCTTATTTTCCTCTCACATGATTGATCTTTAAATGAAAATTCAGCACAAATATCTGTATGTTAAAGTCCCAATCCATATTCTGTTTGGTTCCAGATGGTGAGCTGGGTACCACTACCCCTTCTTTGCGTTTCAGCAAGACCTGCCTAAAGAATGTTTTTTCAGTAATTCTCCTGTTTATTTATCTGCTGCTCATGGCTGTAGCTGTGTTCCTTGTCTACCAAACCATCAGTGACTTCAGGGAGAAGCTCAAGCACCCAGTGATGTCTGTCACTTACAAGGAAGTGTCCTTGTATGATGCACCTGGTAAGAGTGGTAACAAGTAAAATGGGTTAAATTCTTGTTCGTGTTTTTCTTGAATTGTTTTATATTTTTGGTGTTCATTCTTCAGATCCCAGAGTGCATATAATACTTGACCCAGGTCTTTCATTTCCTTACTTTAGGTTAAAAAGTTGTATTGACTTTGCACAGAAATGTTAAATTGTACAGGAGATTTTTGGAAGCTCTCGTGCCAAGAACATGAATGGCAGAAGCTGTGGAGAATTATGCAACATTTCACAGATGAGAAGTGTTTTCAGACTCTAAAACGAGTCCTCTTTTAGAGGAGAAAGATAATTCCTTTTGGAGATATTCCCCAATCTGTATCATTCAAACAGAGTAGCACACAGCATGCGTATCAGGAGCTTGGTGCTGCACTGGGCACTGAGATGCCATTCACAGTAAAGAAGGTGAACTTCTCAAACCAGCCACAAAATAACCACAATGCCACTTTCTACTTCCACCCTGCCTTGTTTACAACATGGTATTACATCAGGAGGCAATGAAAATATGATGTGACTGCTGGGAGCAATGTTGGCACAAAAATGCAGCGTGGCAGCAGAAACTGTTGCAGTTTGCAGGAGGAATTGCTCCACAGGAGCATTTTTGAATAGTGAGTTCTGTTGTTATTATTCATTTTAATTGTCTAGTAGCCATTCTTAAGTAGAGCCATGGTAGCAAATGCAGCTCAGTCAGTCATCCATGAGTTTCCAGTTTAACAATAACACTTCTGTCTGAAGTGTTACCACATTTTCCACATGCCCACTTCAGTAGTTGTGGCTGAAAGGTGTTTTGAGTTGTTGCCATATTACTGTAGTTGTCTTTCTCTATGGCCAGTTAGCCCAGCTCTGNGCCGGGGTTTGGTAAGGAGGGGATGGATGGGCTGTCGGGCGTGAGGAGCGGCTTGGGCAGCAGAGCTGCCGCATCCCAAACTGAAGCACGCTTTATCGCACTGCCAAAAGCCCGAGGCAGCGCCTGGTTTGCATATCGATGTACAGGCTCGGCAGCCCGGCTGCCCTTGCTCCTTCCTATCTCTCCCAATAGACACACAAGAAATTTGTGCCAAGTTCAGCAGCGCTGGAGACTTACAGGAGAGCGCTTTTGTTTGTATCTTGCAGGCAAAAGGGATGTAGATATTTTCCTTTCTCTACACGTGACGGGTAGTTTAGGCTCACTTTTAATACATTCTAATTTAGTGTGGTAAAGTCTGTTTAGTTTCAGCGTCTGGTTTTCTTGCCAGGCTAGAAGGCATTGGAAGGTGATGAATCAGCGGATCAGCAAAAGGCCTGTATGAGCAAGTTCTCCTTTTATTTAAGGGAGTTTTATCCAGTAGGAAGGATTTAGCCCATGACCATCAAGATAGGGTTGTCCTGTGTGCTTGTACCTAGGGAAGGTACTTGTGAGAGTTAATGAATCTGCATTGATGACTGAAGTGTGGACATGGACTATGCATGTTATGTTTCCACCTTAAGTATCAGCCACCACTGACACTGCTCCATATGTTTGGGTTTATCCCAAACTGTGGCAGGAACCAAGATAGGGTGTGTGTGTAAGTGCAGCACCTGTGTGTCCATTCCTTCTTCAGCACCTGCAGCAGTCTGTTGCTTCTGCCCCTGGCCGGAATGCTCAGATGGCTGGAATTGCCGTTTCTGAGCTTCTTTTTGTTCAGTGATTTTCTGTGTGCAGGACTGAAAAAAGCTGCTGGGATATGGGCAGGTTCCTGCGGTTGTTTCTCCCGCAGCTGTATGTGCTGAACCCAGAGGGATGCTGAGTGAAGTTCTGCTTCATGCCCTTCCTGCCCTTGAGATCCTGTCTCTGCATCCTACTGCAAGCTCCACCACCCTGCAATCTGTGTTCCTCCTGGTTGGCACCACGCTTCACCCTGTATCAGAAATACCACATGGGAAGGCTGGCAGAACCCCTGAATCCAAGGGGAGTGGCAAGTGTGAACTGGAATCAGCTGTCCTGCAGTGTCCTGTGCTGGCTTCCCAGCCACTGGGAGGCTGTAGCAGGGTGGGTGTGTGTGAGGTGTTGGGTTTGTAGGTCTGTGCTGCCCTGCCTCATGGAGTCAAGGTGCTGTGTGCTGCTCAGAACGCAGTGGCTGCACCATGCACAGCACTGGGATCTTGGTGACCTCAGTTCAGCTGTTCAGGATGTGCAGTAAAATAAAGTTATTTTTAGGGAGAGGGTCTTACACATCAGCTCAACCTGCTTACTGTTTCTGAAGAAATGTTAGTAGTCCTGCTCTTGCCTGGCTGTCCTCTGGCTTTGTCTGTGAAAAGCTTGTGAAACATTGCGAACAGTGATAAGAAAACATAGTTGCATGTTGTTTGGGATTTTTAGGTTTGTTTCTCAGGACTGCTGAAATGTTGTGTTTTCTGAGCTTACCACAGAATCATTTAGATTGGGAATTACGTCTAAGATAATTTTTCTTCCACTTGTTGAAAAAAATTGCTGTAGGTCCCCTTGAGAGGATAGGAAATGTTGCTTATTTTGTTCTTTTTTAGACTTGTGTTGGGGTCTCCTTACCATCAGGAACAGAATTCATTTACCCTCCCAATAACCTCAGTCAATGAGGTGCCTGTAGCTGGGGAATCAGAGGTGTGGGAGTCACATTTGTCACTTCCATTACATTTGTTGGATCAGCTCTGGTATCAGTAATTTGCACGAGGATGATTGGAACTGGTTTCTTAGCTGATTTAGTGTAACTAGTACAAGAGGTTCAGTGAGCACTTTTCTTGGGTCAGACTAGCTTATTTTGGGTCAGATAAACAGAACCAGCATATTTCTACAACAAGGAACAGACTTTTAATTTTCCTTTATTTTGTTGTGATAATTGCAAAAGGTACCTTCAGTTGGACCCCAGTGAGAGTCTTGCATATGAGCTGAGTTTTTAGCCTACAAGTTATCTCTTCACTTCTTGCCTCATGCTATGGGAAATCGTGCTTTATTTATGTACTTAAGCATTTAAAAACAGCTGGGAAACTGCTTTCATCTTGCTTTGTGTGATGGAAATGAATACAGAAATACAGCAGGAGGTGAAGGAGACTTTGAAGATGTAAAATGAGTGGACTCTTTCCTAATAGGTGCTAGTGATGATTTGGTAATGGCATAATGATGATTTCAGTACTGAATTAAAGTAGGGTGAAATAAAAGCACTCCCTTATGGATACATGCATGTTTCTGTTGTGTAAGTTAGGGGTGTAGTGTTTAATAGCATCCAGTGCAGCTGCAGCATTAACTGTGCCCCTGTTTTCCTTGAAACAGGAACAAGGCTAATGTGATGTGCTGGAAGCTCACGCCTTGGTTTGCATTGTTGTAATCTCTGTGAAAATTCCCACCACGAAAGAAAGTTTGGAAAACATACAAGAGATACTTTCTATTTATGATGTATAAAATCTGTAGTCCTTCACAATGTTGTGTGATGCATATCTGCTGTGACAAGCTTCTGACTCTCAGGGAATGGCCTGGCAGTTTGAGCCCAGAGCTCTGAACAGCAAAACAAGAAAACATCTGGTCTCTGTTGGTGTTTCAGAAACACTGGAAGACTAATTAGTTGCATAACCACTAATATATAATAATCTGCACAGTGAGATCAAATAAGGAGCAGAAATATAGAGATGCTTGACTGTTGTCTCATAATGACCCAGCGACCTGTGGCTGAGACTGTGTTTCAGTTCCTTGCCTTAACACCTGTCAAAATGCATCTTGTGCTTTTTGTACCTCTTTATTAAGAAGTGCTAATGCTCTGTTTGCTGGTATGTGCTGTGGTTTCTTTATGCCTAAAAATATATTCTTCAGTGACAGAATGAAGTTCCTGCTTGTCAGAGATCACTGTCCTAATTGTGGGGTTAAAGTGTGTTGGAGCTGCTGGGGAAGCAATTACTTTGAACTTGAATGGGAAGGTGATGTTATTGTTGAAGCAGCAGGGTAGAAGTAGGTTAAATTTGTAGCATGCAAGTCACTTAATTTGCGGCTCTAAGTCTACAGAAATGTGGCTTTTGTCTTGTGAACAAGTGGAACAGATGTTGGGTGCTCTTGGACTGGGGGGTGTATTTTTGTGTGTTTGGTTAGTTGGAGCCTCTTTTATTTGTACCATAGAAATTCCAACAATTGCAAGTTGAGAGCATGTTTGGAAATTGAACCACTGTTTTAACTACACAGCTGAGTGAAGATGTGGAACGAGTATCTGAAAATCCAGCAGAGGAGAGAGAAGGAGATATGGAAGTTCATGAAGATTCCAGCTCTGTTATTTTACCAGGTAAGAACTATTGACCCAAAAGTTGCTGATTGTTAGGGCCTGTTAGCTGCTGTTGTGTGTGTGGTTTTGTTTTTGCTATTTTATTGCACTTCTGAAGGTAAACAAAATGCTAGTTTCACTACTTAATTCCCTTACTTCACTGATTTCCCTTACTTATTTTATGTGAATCAGTACTGATGGAAAACCAAGGAGGTTATCCAAGGACTGATAGGAGAATATTTCTTTGTCAGGAACTGTGCTCAATCAAAACAGGTTCGGCACATCTGACTCTTGAGATAGCTTAGTATGTCATCTTCCTTTATGTTGTGTCTCACCTGAGAGGCAGTGGGGTTGCAGGCAGAGTCTGTGCCAGATGTATATGAGCAAGATGCACTATTGAATAGATGCTTTAGAATAGATCCTTGTTCAGGTTGCTTTTGGAGGGCATGGAGCAGTGTTAAATGGGCTTATTGCAGCTCAGGCACGGGCACTGAGCTTAGGCAGCCTGAAAGGAGCATGGCCTAAATGCCTTGCAGCTGTCCAAGACATGTTTGTTTCAGCAGTGCATTTTTATGCATATTAATGTCTTAATTGCCTTGGCTGCCATCTCCTGGCATGTAACTTGCCCATGGACATTTGTAAGTGGTTATGTGTGCAGTGGGGTTCACTAAAAGGCTCGTGTTTGCTGTAGGAAGGCACAAACACCAAACCACAGAGTTGGGGAGCAGTATGTGGCATGGCCTGAGAGGGGCTGACTCATTTAATGACACCACAAGAACAGTCAGCAGGAAGCATGGCTGCTCATCTCCTTCCTTGCATTGAGTTTTAACACAAAATTTTGTGTGATCAGCTGTATATCGTTCATGACAAAACATGATGTAGAAGTCAAGAGTACAGGAGCCTTTTCCTTAGAAATATTACCAGAAGAAATGGCAAAGGCAAGGGGTATGGGGAAAGCAGTGTCTGTGTGTGGGTGGGACTACTGTGAAGATCTAAAGAGAACAAGATTTGAAGGAAAAGAGTCTCTGGGAGAATTGGGTCAATCTCTTTCTAGCTGTAATTGGAAGAATCCTTCTATGACAGTTTTTAACATGCACATGGAATTATGAACTAGAGAGTAACAAATATCTAGTAACTTCTACCATGGTGGAGATGCAATGCATATCATTAGAATATTAAATCACTCCATTGATGTCTATGCTGAGTGTGTGTAAGAATCACTTCAGACTGGAAATGGGGGAAAAGGAGTTGTTTTTTTTCCAGAAGCAAGGACTGACCATGAGTAGACTTTCTTGTGAACTTTATACTTTGTTTCTCAGTTGTCCTTGAAAATAAACCATGTTTCCTGCCTGCAGTGGCCTTAAGCAGAGTGCCAAATTCTGGCATGTGAAAAGGAGTCACAATCTTAGGTTGATTACACCTCATACTTGAAAGGAAGTATCTGCCTGCCTATAATTAGCTGTGGTTTTTAAAATCAAGCTGAGTTTGAGGCTTATTTTCCTCTCACATGATTGATCTTTAAATGAAAATTCAGCACAAATATCTGTATGTTAAAGTCCCAATCCATATTCTGTTTGGTTCCAGATGGTGAGCTGGGTACCACTACCCCTTCTTTGCGTTTCAGCAAGACCTGCCTAAAGAATGTTTTTTCAGTAATTCTCCTGTTTATTTATCTGCTGCTCATGGCTGTAGCTGTGTTCCTTGTCTACCAAACCATCAGTGACTTCAGGGAGAAGCTCAAGCACCCAGTGATGTCTGTCACTTACAAGGAAGTGTCCTTGTATGATGCACCTGGTAAGAGTGGTAACAAGTAAAATGGGTTAAATTCTTGTTCGTGTTTTTCTTGAATTGTTTTATATTTTTGGTGTTCATTCTTCAGATCCCAGAGTGCATATAATACTTGACCCAGGTCTTTCATTTCCTTACTTTAGGTTAAAAAGTTGTATTGACTTTGCACAGAAATGTTAAATTGTACAGGAGATTTTTGGAAGCTCTCGTGCCAAGAACATGAATGGCAGAAGCTGTGGAGAATTATGCAACATTTCACAGATGAGAAGTGTTTTCAGACTCTAAAACGAGTCCTCTTTTAGAGGAGAAAGATAATTCCTTTTGGAGATATTCCCCAATCTGTATCATTCAAACAGAGTAGCACACAGCATGCGTATCAGGAGCTTGGTGCTGCACTGGGCACTGAGATGCCATTCACAGTAAAGAAGGTGAACTTCTCAAACCAGCCACAAAATAACCACAATGCCACTTTCTACTTCCACCCTGCCTTGTTTACAACATGGTATTACATCAGGAGGCAATGAAAATATGATGTGACTGCTGGGAGCAATGTTGGCACAAAAATGCAGCGTGGCAGCAGAAACTGTTGCAGTTTGCAGGAGGAATTGCTCCACAGGAGCATTTTTGAATAGTGAGTTCTGTTGTTATTATTCATTTTAATTGTCTAGTAGCCATTCTTAAGTAGAGCCATGGTAGCAAATGCAGCTCAGTCAGTCATCCATGAGTTTCCAGTTTAACAATAACACTTCTGTCTGAAGTGTTACCACATTTTCCACATGCCCACTTCAGTAGTTGTGGCTGAAAGGTGTTTTGAGTTGTTGCCATATTACTGTAGTTGTTTTTCTCTATGGCCAGTTAGCCCAGCTCTGGAAGTAGTGCCTTATGTGTGGACCATATGAATCTGACTTTGAGAGAAAGAAAACTCAGGCTTTTCCTCTTTTTTTTTTTTTTTTTTTTTTTTTTTTTTTTTTTTTTTTTTTTTTTTTTTTTTTTTTTTTTATGTGAGCTTTACATCCAGCAACAGGAAGAAATTAAGCAGATTTTAAATAAGCAGAGCAGCATACATATAAATCCAAAAGTATTATTGGAGATCTCTGGAGATCAGAGAACTTAAATCAATGTAGTCCTTTATTTTATTGCTCTGTTAAAATGATGAGATAGCACGTTGCAAGCATGGAGCTCTGCAGGAAGAAATAAAGCATTTGATATATGCTCAGTGCTTTGACATCTCACATTTTGGTGGACAGATCATCTCAGCTGTGAGTTAATTATATCTAATCAATCATACTCTTTTTTTGTTTTAAGTTGGACTAGATTGTCTTCCAGCAGACTTGTTTCCAATAATAAATATGGCATAGGTGGTGTAAAAAGATTTTGAGGTTTGGCTCTTGTATTTTGCTAGCCTTCCAAATCTGAGGTGGCTGAGGTTGCTTGAGTGTGCTGTTGGACTGAAACAGGAGATTTATGGTATATATGGGCTTTCACCCAGGTGGAGTAGTTGTCTGCCCTACCCAGTGCTGTAAATAATAAGGGATGGTAGCAGTTAATGCATGTTTGATGGCTTTGATTTTTATGATGATGTCACATTCGGTTAACAGAAGATGCTGTATTCTGAAGAGCATCTTTTCACTTCTCTTAGCTCAGCCAGTGATCTTTGATCTGTCGGGTATTGTATGTACATTTTTTCCAATTAACACTTGCTGTGTTAAATGCTAATATCTGAAAACTAAAGCACTACATGTCCCATTTGATGACCCCTAACATATTTTGCAGATTCATCTGGGGTTGAGAGGGACTGATGGATTAGCTGCTGCCTTGTGGGAAGACTAGGGAAACTTGGTAGCTTCTATGAACCTTGAACTGTTGTAACTGAATATGAACCCTGATTTTTTTCAATGCATCGTGGGGGTTCTGTCCTGATGCAGTTGGTGTTTTTGTCCTGCTTCAGAAAAATGTGGAAGTGCATGGTTTAATTTGATTGTTTTGTGGCATCTTAAAGATAGCTCAGTATCCCATGGGATTAATTCCAGAATGAAAATCTATGTCGTCAGAAAGGAAATCAGTGCTCTCCAGTTTTTTTCTCCCCAAACAGGTATTGCCTTTTACCCAGGCAAGGCTCAGCTGCTTAGCTGCAAACATCATTACTACGATCACATTCCACCTCTGATAAATCCAGGTCAGCCAGGAGACATTGAATGCACCACTCAGAGGATCAACTACACAGATCCTTTTACTAATCAAACTATGGTAATAACAATATAATAAACAAAGTTTATTCACTGTGGGGTTTCTGCTCATAATCTTGTTGGAAATGTACTATGTGCTGTAAAAAAAATCCTTGCTTCTGGTTTGGATTTTTTGTAAGCCATCTGTCATTTTGTTTTCAGAAATGTAAAAGACCTCAGTCAGTGTATATATGTGTTATGGAAGATCAGTTGTCCTGTGGGTGTGTGCAGTACAAAATCCTTAATGGGCTAAAATAAGTAATTTTTCACAGTGAAGCTCTCACTTCATTCTTCTCCTAAATGAACTGGGAAGCAGTTTCCTTGATATTGCAAACCTAGCTTTGATTGAAAGCAGTATCAGTATACATTAAAGGAGGATAGCTAATCTCTCTTTTTATGTTTGCTGGGAATTCATACATGAATTCCTGCTGGGAATTACATACCATGTTTGTCACACTTGGAAGAATCTTAAATGGGCACCAAGTGTTTCATTACACTGAGGTGCTTTGAGCCAGCAAGATGGGTACATTGAGGAGTGATAGTCTGACTTAAACTGCCTTTAGAAGTGCAGGGAAGCTTGCTTCTGTATAAACAAATGTCCAAAACCCACAAATGACCATATCTAATACTTAAATATTAATGTTTAAACACTGAATCTTGATGTAAAGACCCCCTTTTTAAACTAAAAGAAGGGACCAAAGTGGCATTCTTGTTAGGTATTTTAATAGATGTGTACTTAGTAGCAGCCAAGAAACTCTCTGTGTGTGTTAGATTTCTACAGAGTATTAGTGCCAGATGGCAAATTAATGAACAGCAAATGAGGATTCCTTTGCTCCTCTCACCATCTCTGTTTGCTTACAGAAGTATGCTTTGGTTGTTCAAGGCCCTCGTGATGTGAAGAAAAGGGAACTGGTGTTTTTGCAGTTCTATTTAAATGAAACAGACCAAGATTTTAGTGCCATTGACTACCTGCTGTTCTCTTCATTCCAAGAGTTTGTCAGCAGGTATGTAAAGGGGGGGGTGAGCCTGTGGATGCACTGAACTTGCTGTCACAATACTTGTGAAGGCAGGGCTTTTTCAGAAAAATCCAGGCAGGCTTTTATGATTTTTAAAAAATGTTTGGAGCACGTTGATGCTCTTTAATGTCTTTGTTTACTAATCTGACCTTTAGAAAATGTATTGAGGGCTTTTTCAGTGACAAAAACTGTTCTTCAGCTGTGCTTAAACCATTTGTTGCTGCACTTTATAAAAGCTTGGAGTTGGTGCTGGCTTCCTGCTGTCTGATGCTGTGGGTGCTCAGGAAGTGTGCTGTCCTGGGTAGTGTGTCAGGAAGTGCACCAAGAACACAAATACTTTTGTGCCATTTGGGGGTTTTTAAAGCAATTGCTGTAAAGGTCAGATCCCTAGGTTGCTTTGTTGTGTTTTCATTGAAAGATTAACAGATTAACTGTTTCTTTGTATTACTGGCTATATTTAAAATTCTGCAGAATGATGTAAATTCATTTTCGAAATTGCTTTTTATTGGTTTGACATTGGTATCATTGGAGTATCTAATCAACCTTCTAATTTTATCAAGAATGGAACTAATCTTGTCTTGAACTTTCTTGAAAGACCCACTCTTTTTCCACTTTTTGAGAATAAATTTCATATTTTACGGTTTAATTTTTGCTTTAATTTAGATTCAAATTCTGTTACTCTTTCTGAGATCCAGGTTAAAAGTTAGCCAAGAAATATTAGTCATAATGACACTTGATGGTCAACCTTAATTTGATAATAGATGCTCAGTGGAAAAGGGACAGGGGATAGAGAACCCATGCAGAACAAGATTAGGTGAAGGAGGGAAGAGAACAGATTTTATTGTAGCAAGGCCTTCTCAGGGGCTTGGACATGGTCATACTGATGCTTTTCAGATGGATCAAAGACTGGAAGTGTTCAGACATGATACCTCTGGGTGGCCAAAGACCAATTAGCTGGATTTGCCTTTTACAAAGCATTTCTGCTTCATTGAAGTCATGCTAAGTCTTTAACTGTTTTCTGTAACTGCACTGAAACACCTCATAAAATGTTCTGGGAGATTTAGGCAGTCATATTTTAGGGTGAGAGAACACCAGTGAAGAGTAGTGGTGTAGAAGGTGCTGCTTGTTCCTTATTCTGTTTTTTTTTCTGGTTTTATGGCTTGTGCTCTGGTAAGAAATGCTTACAGTGGGACCACTTGCAGCAAGGTGCTCAGCTCTTTCTGTACTGCCAGACACCAGCACTGCCTGGGGCCAGCCCTGGTGAACAGTTCAGTCTGTGCCCAGTTTGTTTGGGGATGCATCCTCTGTGCTTGCTTGAGGCAGGTATTAGGAGTTAAAACTGGTTTTGAACTAACCCAGGTGAATGGTCACATGGGCAAGGGGATGAAGGCCTTAGTGCTAAATGATCTGCATGTCTAGATGGAATGCAGGAAAGGAACCAGCTGTGGGCAGGAGGCCAGTGATGTCTTTTCTGCAGCATCCTCCAAACTTAATACAAATGGTGTGGCTTGTGTTGCTCAGTGCTGTGTTTGCTGTCCTGGCATGAACTGGCTGGGCTCAGGGCAGATGGGGAGTTTACATTTCTCCTGACTACTGAAAGTGCATGTGAAGCTGCATTGTGTATGTGGAGAGCACTCATTCTGTCCAGCTTCCAGCAGAAAAGAAAATAGAAATGATTTCTTGTTCATCAGCAGATGCTAAATTTAGCTGATGAGAAGTCTGGCATAAGATATCTGCAAAACTCTTGTGTGTCCTTCCATACAGCCTCTGAAAACTTCAATCACTGGCCTCTGTTAACTACTTTTCCTGACAAAGTGTCTCACTGGTTATGAGAGCCCAGAATAACACTGTGCCCAGCAGTTCATGTACAGTGTTATCAGAGGTGCCACAAGCAATAGAAAAATGGCATCTAAAGACTTGTACCCTTAAGAGATTTTTTGTGGTGCAGTAAGTGCTGAGGATTGGAGCAAAGTCCAGTTGTTTCTGTCAAGGGCTTTGTTCTCTGCAGCCCTTCTGTTAAAATTGGGTCAGACTCCATGAAACTGGCACTGCTCACTGGTTTTGTTCTGGTCTCCACAGAACACTGTTTCACTGTGTGCTGTTGTTGGCCTCTGAGCTGGAGAGAGATGCTGCTGGCTTCTTTTTCTTTTTTTTTTTTTTTTTTTTTTTTAAGATAGTGGCAGCTGCTGTCTGTACCATATTAATTGGAGGGAGGGAAATAATGAAACCCTTGCAAATTACCCAAAATGTGTGGCTGGAAATGCAAGTTCCTCCCCTGAACTGCCATTAGGATAATACGTGGGGTTTAGAAGAAAATCCTCTGAATATATTCCTGACAAAACGATTGTTAGTGTAGCATGTCAAATAACTAATGGTCTTGTGAAATGATGGATACCAGTGTGAACAGATCAGAGATTATTTCAGGGTCCAAACAGAGCCCCATATTCATGTCTCTGATCTGGATTGCTGCATGCAGAGAAATACAACATAGAAGGATTGAGACTTGCTACCATACCAACCTTTATTAGGTGCCACGGCTGTTTGAGAGTTTCTTGCTCTGGGGAAGCACAACAGCAATAAACACAGATTGGACTTGAACCATCAGTGGGTTTGGCTCTTGCTGCTGCATTGGAATCTGCTGGTGTTCTGTCCTGAACTTCTCTGGCTCTCATAGGGTGGTCCATGGACAGTGGTGGTAAAGGATCCACTGCAGCACTACAGCCCAGTTCAGAAATAGGTTAGTGACTCCCACAGATCAAAAATAAAAGAGAAAGGAAAAAAAGGGAAAAAAAAACCCAAACAGCAACAAAAAAACCCAAAAAAACAAAACAAAACAAACAAAAAAAAAAAGAGGTGTAGCCTGTGTAGGCTTTGGTGTGAAGAGGGAATTAAAAGAAATTGCCTGGAGAACTGTTTTCTGCTTAAAATCCCTTTCCTGTCTTGTGTTCACTTGGTTGTGTGTGGTTTTAAAGCTGTGTTATTTGCCCTCTGCTATAATTTGTGCAAAGCTTGTGCCTCTGTGCTGTGCTCCTCCTGTCCACTGCCCTTTTTTTCCCCTCATTCTGTGGCAGTGGTCTGGATTATGGAGATGCCTCCCAGATCACTTCTCCACAGCTTCTCCTAAGATACTATTAATCCTCCTTTTTCCATCCTGCAATTGCTGTCAAAGGCAAAGCATACTGCTGCTGTCTGCCTACCGTGGAAGTTGTGGCTGTAGCTGTGTCATAACTTCCTGCCTCATTTTTCCATGTTGGCTTGGAAAGCTTTTCTGGGATGCTGTATTTAGCCAGCCATTAGGCATCTGACTGGCTGGCAGAGTGCTAATTATGTATGTTCCTCTTGAGTGGCAAAGCATTGCAGTGCTCCCCTGTGCCATCCCCCTCAGCTGCTGCTCTGCCCACAGCCCAGGAGGGGAAGCAGTTGTTGGATTGGGTATTCCTGTGTCCCTGGTTTGCTCTGGTGAGGAGCAGGCAGGCTGTGGGCTTTGTCCTTAGGCTTTTCCCACATTTTTCCTGTGGGTGCCATCCTGGTGGGGTCACTAAACAAGCAGCTCATGTCAAAGTCAAGATATTCCTAACTTCCCAGGACACCCTGGGGACAGCAACTGCCTTGATAGGTAGCAAAGCATGTTAGTTTTTCTTTGCAGGAACCCTTCTCTTTTCTGTGCTCGTGCACAGTGGAATTCTGTGTTTTTGAGTCCACTGCCTGAAGCCCTGACTTGAGAGAATGGCTTTGCTGGGTTTTGCCCTCCCATGCACACCTGTGTATTCATCTATTAAGCCTGAGCAGGTGGTGTGCCCCAGAGTAGCCATCAATTTGATACTTACATTGATGCAGTCCTTTTGGTCCTTGTAGACAAGGCACCTTGGTTTGTAGAAAGAAGAGAAGCTCTGAGTTTGAAAACTAAATAAAAAAGACATGAAAAGTGCAAATCTGGTCAGTGCTGGACAAATCTTCCTGATTGGCCTGTTCTGGGACAAGAGCTTGCTTCTTCACCTCTGCTTTTCTTCTTTACTTTTTTGCATTTTTCTCCTGAAAGATGAAAACACCTTTATCTCCTAAAAGACCTGGTTATGCACATCCTCTGCCATAAAAGCAAAGAACACTCTTCCCCTTCTTCTAGGTAGATGGATTTAAAAACCTTCTTCCTTCTTTTAAGGACCAACATACTCTGTCATATCTCTACAACCTGAAATCTATCTTAGTAAAAATAGCCTTTAATGATGCCTGACTTCTCACTGTGGTTTACCCCTTCTTCTCAAATTAAACCTTATTGGAAAAGCAGCTGCAGGGCTGGGCTTATTTCACAGGGATGACATGAAAATGGCTAAAATCACAGTACTGAAGAGCTCAAGTAAATAGCATGGTTAATTCACTATGTCCTGTGCAGCTGGTAGAGAAGAGATGGAGACCAGATATGCCTTAAAGCTACCCCTTTCCTACTTGCAGCATGAGGGGTGTTGGAAGCCTTAAAGATTTATCATCTTTAAAGCTGTAAAGATGCAATCCCACTGTTTTGGAGGCTGCAGATAGCTATGGCTGCATATTGGGATAACAGTTCTTGCAGGTGGGAGCCTTACGCCAAAGCTACAGTGCTTCCAAAATAATAGGATTATACTGAATGTCAATCTCACAGCATTTTAAGCACGTATGCATTGCAACTGGTTTATTTGGCAACCAGAAATGAGGTGAAGCACCCTGTTCTTCCTCTAGGCTCTTCCTGCTGTCTCTTGCTTCCCAACATGGTGATGAGTTGTTTCCTGAGGTCCTGGCTCTGCTCCTTTCTGTCCCATAGGTGACAGATGAGCAGAGCCAAACTGCCTGTGAGGCAGAACAATCCCTACAGGCACCTCCAGGGCTGTAGGGCACCAGGTAAGTCCTCTGCAGTTAAGGATGCACCAGTGAAGTGCTACCATTAATGAAAACATCACTACACACAATGCTTTAGATGTGTTGAGTTTAGCAGGTGGAGAATAAAAGGAATTGGGAACAAAGTTTGAAATGCCTAGGTCTGACCTTCTGCCTACAGTGCTCAGTTTGGTAAATAAAGTAATGATTTTTTTTCCCTTTAGTCCAGAAAAAGCAAAATTCATGAAGGACTGTGAAAGCTCATACTCCAGCTGGAAGTTTTCTGGAGGCTTCCGAACTTGGGTCAAGATGTCCTTGGTCAAAACAAAAGAAGAAGATGGTAGTGAGACTGTTGAATTCAAACAAGAGGTAAAAAAAAAAAAAAAAAAA